GAAGGACCCCACAGCTTGTCCTTGGCCAGAGTTACTCCCTAGCTACTTCCTAGCAGCAGTTAATCAAAGATTAGTCTGATTGTCTCAGATGTACTTTCAGACTGTTTGTGATTATATATAGTCTTGCTTCAGAGCACCCACCTGTCAGCTTATAATCATTCTATTAGATGCTTGTCAGACCAGACACACCCTCCCTCACCCCCTCACTGGCTCCATTTTCCTATAAGAGCTTGTCCTGCTGAGGGTTCGAGGCTGCTCTGCCTTCCCTTCCTGTCCTGCTGTGTCAGGGTTGAGCTAGACAAGAGCCAAACCCAAGGTTATAATAAAGAGACCCTAATGCTATTACATAGGAAATGGCTCCTTGGCGGTCTTTGGGGGTTCATGAACACTTCCCGAAACAACATTGGGTGGTTCGTGCCTTTAACTCAGCTTTCAGGAGTCAGGGACAGTTGGCTCTCTGTGATTTTGAGGCCAGCCTGGTCTACAGAGTGACGAGTTCCAGGACAGCCAGTGCTACACAAAGAAACACTGTCTCAAAAAAGGGAGAACTAAAATCTAACAAAGCATGTTTGAATATTTTGAAGTAAACTGTCACAGTTTATCATGAGAGGAAATTAAAATGGCCTGTAGGGGCCATCCTCATTCAAAGCAATCTAACCTAGTCTTTACCTCTTAATTATACTTATACCTGTAGATGCTGACCTCTGGATAGTGCTTTACCTAACCATAGAAACTGCCAGACCATAGTGATACAAAAACAGAATCCAAATATTACCTTTCATCTCATTCCCTGTGAGTTTGATAATGCTCAAATAGTCTTGTCACAAAAGATAACTTGAAATATGCTCTTGGAATTCTCAGTGGCCAAAATTTGGGAGTATTTTAGTTAAAAGTCTAGGGATAACTGGCTCATTTAAAGGTTTCCTTAGGCATCTGCCTCCTTTGGTCCTGAAATGTATTGTCTCCTTTTGAGTTTCACTTGTTTTCTTTTTTGTTTGTTTTGTTTTTTTTGTTTTTGTTTTGTTTTTTCGAGACAGGGTTTCTCTGTGTAGCCCTGGCTGTCCTAGAACTCACTCTGTAGACCAGGCTAGCCTTGAACTCTCGAACTCAGAAATCCACCTGCCTCTGCCTCCCACGTGCTGGGATTAAGGGCGTGTGCCACCACCGCCCAGCTCACTTGTTTTCTAAATGCTCTACTTCAGGGAGAAACTATATTTAAGAGAGGCTATCAGACTGAACTGTAGGATGTGGCTAGGGTAATGTAACAATGGCTGGCTGACACCTGAGAGGCCAAACTTGCCAGTAAGTGTGAGGGCAAGAAGGCAGAGCTGGGCAGTCATGGCGCATGCCTTTAATCCCAGCATTTGGGAGGCAGAGGCAGGTGGATTTCTGAGTTCAAGGCCAACCTGGTCTACAGAGTGAGTTCCAGGACAGCCAGGGCTACACAGAGAAACTCTGCTGGGAGCCAAGACTTCCTTCTTCCTGAGAGCAAATATCAGTTAAGTAGATAGCCTGAGTAAAGGAAGACCTTATCAGCCTTCCTGCCTGGGAAAGAAAATTAGCAACTTGAGCCTAACGAATGTTTTATTGCCCTCTTGCTCATGAGAAAGTGGTGTGGGCTAAGGAATGCTTGCTAAGAACTTAACAACTACCGGATGGCCCTGGACCCTGACCCTCCTCCCTGCTTGTCTTTATAAGACAACCCGAACAATTAAGTTCAAGCACTTGATCAGATGTTCAGACTTGTGCTTCTTCTTTGTGTCTCTTATCATTCTCTCCCCCCCTTCCCTAGGTCTCGTAGAATCCCCAAGGGCCGGGGCAAAACCCTATCTCGAAAAAACAAACAAACAGACAAACAAAAAAAGCAGAAATTTTCCCTCTTCTACTTCTCTTGGTTTGTGCTGCTGTCAGAAGGTACCGCCCACACTTAGAGTCTTCTTGCCTCAAATAATCTAATCCAAAACATCTCTCACAGAAGTTTCCAGCAGCTTGAGTTTTATTGGATTCCAGATGTAATCAAGTTGACAAAGTCAGCCCATCACACTTACTGACTTGTTTACTTAGTTAGTTGTTTATTTAGTTAGTAACTTGTTTACTTAGTTAGTTGTATTTATTGTGGTTCTTGGGATTGAACTCAGGAGGAAAGTCTGCCTTTTGATTTCATTTAACTAGCAGGGTCACGTACCTATCCTTGGGTCAACAATACTCTACTTGGAAATACAGTAGACTTATGTTTCTGAAAGTGGTTGGAAGAAGGTGACTTTCATTTAATGTCCAGACATTTTGGTTGTCACGGTTGTGAAAACAGATCTACTGACATACTGGGAGGAGTCTGGAAGTAAAGTTAAACATGGCACAGAACAGCTCCCCTCCCCACACACTCAACATAATAATTATCTAGCCCAAAATGATACCAAGATTGAGAAACTGTGCTTAGGTTATAATTTTAAGCTTATAATCCTAACAAATAATTATTTTAAAAAATTAGTTTCCCGTTATTTGTTTAGATTTATCAGAACCTACACAGTTGTGAATGGGTTCATCTTCTCTTTGGGTATGTAACGGGGCCCTAGACCTTAGCACAACTGGTTCCATGATGGGAGTACCATTTAGGCTGTACATTTTTAGCACATAGGCAACACCACCTGCCAAAAGCAAAACACCAACCTAAGCCATAGTTCTTGGAATGTCTCTAAATGTACTAACCTTGGTTTTCGGCTTCTGTACTTCTAGCTAACTGTTCTTGTTGACTGAAGTATGTCAACCTAGGACACATTTTGTGCTTAAAAGCCCACCCTGAGAAAGGCTCACCATTACACTGGGATTCTGAACACCCAATGTAGCAGCGTAGTGCCAGGGAAATGATAGTGATCCCAAAACACAGACAGGAGCTGATCTGATGCAATTAACAGCAGCATCTTTATTTTATTTGAGCTATCTCGGACCCCTACCTCCAACGCACCACACTCATCCAGAATGGTTTTGGTGGTGGGGGAGCCCCAAATGTCTATCAGGGCAAAGCTTTATAGTAAGCAGCAAGCAGGGAATAAGTGAACAAGCATCTAATTGGAAAGCTCCTGTGGCCTTTAACATAATTGGCTGGTGCTGGGAGTCATATCATAAACTTGACTTCTGCCCTCCTCTGTATTGATGGTCATTAGGCAGGAGGTGGGCTTGTAACTTGGGGGTGCAGGGTTTTTGGAGGAATAACCTGGAGACACTAGTCTTGTAGAGGGTGCAACCTGGAGACGCTGGTCTTGTTGGGGATTAGTCTAGAGACTGGAGCTAGGCTCTGGTTTTGTTGGGGGGAAACTTGGAAACTAATGCTAGGTATCAGCCTGTTAGTTTACTTGAGTTCAAACTTAGGTCAGGTTCTCTAAAATGAAGTCTGAACTTAAAAGATTTGGCCTCTCAGAAGCTAGCTGACTAATAAAGAATTTCTATTGGCTTCAACCCATGTCCAGACAATCTTCTCTGGTAGATCCCAACAGCAGGGTATACAGACAGTAAACATCTAAACTGTAAACAGTTATTTTAGTAAACAGGCATGAGTAGCTAATAATATCCCTAAAAGAGCTAATTATTTGGGGAATTTTAAAAAGTGTGCATATTGGAAGAGTTAGGATAGACATCAAAGGTAAATTTTTAGATTACTGCAATTCTAAGGTTTTTTTAATTTTCATAAGTGTTTTTAATGTTTTATTGAAAATTATGTTTGAGTTTACAGTAAGAATGTATCATTTTATTTTGTGTGTGTCTGCCAATGCAGGAAGGCTCTCACCTGCCCAGGTACATACGTGTGGAGGCCAGAGAAGGTTGTAACATACCCTTTCCTTTTCACTCTTTGTGTTACACCCTGAGTCTGGATCTGTCACTGAACCTGGAGCTGGCCTGGCAGGCTGCAAACCTCAGTGATCTTCTGTTCTACCCCCACAATGCTGGAGTTACAGGACACAGTGTGGCCATCATCTTTTTACATGGCTGCTAGGTATTTAGACCAAGGTCCTCATGCTTCCCCAGTGAGCTGTTTTACCCACTGTGCCGTCTCAACTCTAGCAATTACTGTTTTTAGGATATATCTTTTTACAGTGGATAAGTTCTCTAGTAAAGAGAACTCTTTTTGTTAATGTTTTTTATGTCACCCTGGATGGCTTGGAACTCTTCGTGTAGACCTGGCTAATTTCGAACTGGTGGTGAGTCTCCTGCCTCCTGAGTGCTGGGATTGCAGATGTATCCCACTAAAAGTAGCAAATACACCCCTACTTTTTTTTTTTGGCAAAGAAAAATATTTCATTAGTAGATCATCTTCAAAAATGAGTGCCGAAAGTGGGGTATGATACGGCTGCACGTATACCGCTTGTCTAGATAACAGCAAGATCCTGGTTCTGATACTCGGCACCTGAAAAAAAAATCGAGTAAAAAGTGTATTAAGTTTCTTAAATCGAACTGTAATAGACTAGATTACTTCGCTTAAGTTTAGTGAAAAGATAGTTTTACTGATATCTTGCCAAAAAATATATATACAATGTATACTCTTCACCTTAAAGTAGTTGATATTGTTCAGGGCGAATTTCAGAAGCAACTTGGCGATAGGTTCCACGCTGGACCTCTGGGTGCCGCTGTCGTCCAGTCCGTGGCCATCTGACCCAGTGATCCCCGCAGGCTTTCGTAAACACATCCCTAAAATGCACAGCCCTGCGCTCGGTTTGAATCTCTTAGCGTCCTATCTCCTGTTTTCAGCTAAGTATGTCCCGGCCATCATCTCCAGCATGTTTAAGGACACTGATTGAAGTGTTGCCTTTTAAACTTACCTGGAAAGCTAGGAGTAGCTGCAGGGACTGAATTCGCGTCTCAATGGCTGCGTGGATAGGAAGTCGCCCACAGGGCAGGCGCACTGAGCGCAGGAAGCGCCGCCTCCCTTCTGCAGTCTTTGTTCTGCTCCTAGAACTGCGTACTTACTGCTCAGCGTGATTTGAAAGGAAGGCAGAGTGGTTAAATGTGAGGAATTTGAGAGTGAGTGCTGAGAACTGCTCCACCTAGCCACGACTACAGAGACCGATCAACTTGAGAATGACTGGATCGACAAAGCAGTTCTACCAAAGAAATTATGTAAGCCACTAGAATTTGAAAATTAACTCTACCGAAAATAATATAGACAGAATCGGCCTGGACTTAAATGACAGCGGCTTGTGGCACGGACTGTTTTGGAAATTCTGGATGGCATCTTAATATCAGCATTTAAAAATTTGAATGCTGAGAATAACTCTACAAATGTAACTTTCAGAAATCATTCCTCTGACTACAGAAGTGAATGGAGAGCATTACAGCAGTAAATATTGGAAACTGCTACTGAGGACACCCTAGACCAGAGGAGCAGGACTGCCTCTCCTCAATGATGGACATGGGGCAGAACAGCTTTGGACGGGGAAAAAAAAAAGCCTTGGATTTTGAGCCACATCTGTGCAGCTGACCCATCCTGCAGAAGAGCAGAGCCACCTCGTGACCATTCCAGGTGATCCTCATTGTCATCCTTAAGGTAGAGTTCTGTAATTTCTATACAATCTCACAACTCATACAGAATAGAATCTACTGTCCTCAGATTGCAGCAATGCTTGATTTTGATTTTTTTTAAAAGGAATCTTGAGAATAAAAGATTGGAGGCAGTCTAAAGTCCCAGTTGAAATGGAAGTCAAGAACTACAATGCAGCACAGGTCACTGTCAACCGGGCGTCCACAGGTAGGAACTGCTATTACATAAACAGGCCAACTGAGAACTTTGCTTAAGTGGACAGGTGAAAATTGTTGCAGGAGGAGTGATCCCACGGACAGTTCACCTCCAAGAAATACCATATAATTGTCGCCTACTGAGAAATGGAATCCTGAATGGGAGCAGACTCTAAAGCACAGTCTTGCCATCAGTGCCTTTACAGGATGACCATCTCTTTTCTGCGGCACAAGCATTACCCAAGCATTTTCATCAACAGCAATAGTCTGTGCAGAGAGCGATGGTGCATGCCTGTAACCCCAGCTTCCAGGAGACTGAGCAAGAAGATCCAGAGCTTCAGGCCAGCCTCAACTACAAGGTGAAATGCTAACAAAACGAAACAGCAACAAAAACGATCAAAGTGCATCTTTTCAGACAGGCCATTGTTTTTCTTTCTTCCCTTTTCTTTTTGTGGTGCTGAGGTTTAATCGTGAGACCTTTTCTATGCTAGGCAGGTGTTCCATAGTGAACCACATCCTGAGCCTTTATTTTTCCTTGAGACAGGGTATTGTTGTGTAGCCTAGGCTGGCCTCATATTTATAATCCATCTGTCTCTGCCTCCTGAAAGCTGGATTACAGATGTATACCATTGTGCCTTGTGCCAAGGGATTGGGAGCATTCATCCAAGCCTCCACTGAATACTTGAGTACTTCAGACCAGTGCTTGGGATCTTTCATAATTCCAGTCTCTCCCTGACCAAGTGACTTTGCATCAAGAGAGTGCTACTGTCCTATGTCAACAAGGACAGATTGCAGTAGTATTCCTGGAGACTACCTTTAAACTGATTCTCAGCATGATAATCAGAGTTTGGCTGGCTCAATGCCGTCCAGAGCCTCCCAGTGATGGTGGGTGGCTGACACCTTCAACTAGGTAAGGCACTGCAATGCACACTATGGAGCCTATCTACCTGGTGACCAAAGTGTGCACCAACTTGAAGCACAAGAGCTAACTGTCTTATCATATATTTTAGACCAGCTAATGTGGTTCTTCAACCTGGGGACTCATACAGCTAACTGTGTGCAGCACTGCTCCCTGACTCAGTCAGAACCTACCAGGGCCTATGTGATGGAGTTACCATGAGTTTTCAGGAGTTATTGCTAGACTTCAGTGTACCAAGTATATAGCACTGCCAGGCAGATGGGGGTTTAGTTTTGAAAGCCTTGCCTTAGTTTCTGTACTCTTTCTCCTCATAAGGATTCTGGCAGTCATCCCGGGCCTATTACTCTATCTCCATCACTAGGAACATCTGTCAGCCTGGTCTCTGTAGCATGGTTTTGAAGTTATTCCCAACTTAAGCCTCACCTTTTAGTAGAATCGATGCTTCACCTATCAGATTAATTCCAGAAACATCTTTCAATTGGATATTGCCTTCAATGCCAACAACAAAGCCTTACATGTTGTATTGGAGTCAAATACATACCATGTGAGTTTGAATATTTTCACTTAATACAACTTTTATAAGTTGTTTCTGCTCGTCTTTTGTTGGTGGGATGGAAACCTCTACCAGTGTACTGAATACTTTTATATGTGCTTTATTCTGCCTCTTCAGTTCACAGTTCCTTTTGGAAGAATGTTGCATGCATTAATATGCATTAACATGTTCTGAAAACTCTTGTCCTTACAATAATGAAGGATGTTTATTGCATTAAGTTCCTACCCTTGAGGTCCATATACCTATCTTTGAGATTCGGAGAAACTGTGAATTTGGCTATATAAGAGCAGAAATTCTCCTTCCAAGAACAATTCGTATGACTGTTAAATCCCTCCTTCCTTTCCTCATTTTCTGAAACTTTCATGGCTTTTGTATCTAGTTGGCTGCCAGCATCTCATCTCTATTGTTTCTGAAATGCAAATACCATATTTTCTTGTCAGATAAAGAAAAGTAAATTACTGTAACTTGAGACACTGTAGTTTTTAACCTTCTTTATCAAGGAATAAATTAAAACATTTGCAAAGACTTGAATGTTAAAATATAACAATGGAAGATCAGCAAAAGCTATGGGACTTATAAGTTAAGCAAAGACAATTATGTTTACCTAAGACAACCAAGAGGCAAACTTGTTTTAAGTTATGATGAATTCATATTCCACTTAGTCATTTATTAACTTAAGAGTTCAACTTTTTCCTGTTTTCATTTTCTTTTCTTCTTCTTCTTTTTTTTTTAATCCGAAGCTGTCTCGTATAGCCAGGCTGACCTCAAACCCATTGCTTACGCCGAGAATGACTTCGACCTTCCTGTCCTCCTGACTCTAACTTCCTGCTAGGATTACAGGATTACAGACACGCACACCACCCTTGGATTTCTGCTGTGCTGTGGATTGAGCCCAGGGCTCTGTTCATGCTCAGCTGTGATGTGCAGATCAGCTGAGCTCTATCTCCCACCCAAGCTCAGCCTTTGTAAAGTAAAATACATAAAAAATCATAAATTTAGCATATATTTACAAGAAAATATTTCTCTCTGATGAAAAGATCTCTGGTATATTTATATATCCAAATAATTTATACTAATGCTTCACAAAAAATGTCATTTTATTACTATAATCCCAAAGTCATAATTTCTGTACAGGAATGTGTAAGTGGACATTAGGCACTGATAATTTACTTTTTGAACATAGTAAATTATGACAAAGCAAATTAAGTGTTCTGATCTTGGAGTGCACTTCTTTTTTTTTTGTTTTGTTTTTTGTTTTGTTTTTCGAGACAGGGTTTCTTTGTGTAGCTCTGGCTGTCCTGGAACTCACTCTGTAGACCAGGCTGGCCTCGAACTCAGAAATCCGACTGCCTCTGCCTCCCAAGTGCTGGGATCAAAGGCGTGCGCCACCACTGCCCGGCTGGAGTGCACTTCTTATCTTAGTGAAAGTATTTCAGAATTCAGCAGAGAGACCATCATGGAAAACCATGCCACTATGTGAAACTGAGTCAGGACACTCAGCATATGACAAAATGGCAGGAAATACATGTGTATATGTAAATGTATAATTTATAAAACATATACTAGTTTTTTCATATGTTTTTAAATGGTTTACTTTGTAGCTATCATAACTAGAACAAAAGCATTGACGTCCCAGGAATACCCTTCCCATTAGGCTGCACTAGTGGCTGTGGGAAGGAGTGGCTCCCAGTGTCCTCTCAGCTGCTGCTGTGGTCAGCCTAATGATTCCAAGTGCATAGAGATAACAGCTGTTTAAATTGACCTTCCTCAGATCTTCACACCTCTCTTCTCATTGTTCTGGAATCTATTCACAATCTTTTTCTTCTTGTACTTTCACCTCTTTTATTTCACTTTCAGATTGTTATGTATAAGTTGGTTTGCTATCCACCACCATTTTCCCATTTTGTGTTTTTGAACAAAGTAATAAGCAACTTTTCATATCTGCCAACATGTCACTTAGTGGACAAACATCTTTCACTGAATGTTATAATCACTTAGTGGGCCGGGCGGTGGTGGAGCACGCCTTTAATCCCAGCACTTGGGAGGCAGAGGCAGGCGGATTTCTGAGTTCAAGAGTTCGAGGCTAGCCTGGTCTACAGAGTGAGTTCCAGGACAGCCAGGACTACACAGAGAAACCCTGTCTCGAAAAACCAAATAATAATAATAATAATCACTTAGTGGTTCAAAATATGTGAAAGTCGGCAAAAGTTCGCTGTTACAGCAGCTGATCTGCAAGCTGTGCCAACACTCCGGGTAGAGCAGGCTAGTTCTCAGAATGGCCTACAACCACAGCACATTTAGCAGAAGGAACACTCAGCTGGATGTTCTTTTCTGAAATGAACCAAGTCTTCAAAACTGGCATGAACCTGGAAAGCTACTCCTCCAGATTCTTGAATTTATTCCTGCTTTTCTTCAAACTATAAGATTCAATTCATTCAGCTGGGTATGATGGTGCATGCCTTTATTCCCAGCACTTGGGAGGCAGAGGCAGATGGATCTCTGAGCTTGAGGCCAGCCTGGTCTACACAGTGAGTGCTAGGATGGCCAGGGCTACCCAGAGAAACGCTGTCTCAAAACAAAACAAACAAACAAAAACAGGTTCAATTCATTCATCTCGGTTGTCTGTTTGCTGACTAGATCGTCAGCCTTCTTCACCATTCTAAATATCCGAGCTCCACACTGAGCTCCGAACTTTCCAAGAACTCGCTTCAGCCAGGATCCTGTAGTAAAGCGGGTGCCTTACTGTTCTCTTCTCAGGAGCTACTCTCCGTTTTCTTCTTCGCCTACTTTGGCCTTCATCATACCACTAGCATTCTGTTATTCTCCTCATACTGAGAGGACCAAATGTTGAGCTTCATGGCTGCTCCTGAGGGCCTACAAGTGAGCCGGAAACGAGCCAGGGTGTGCTCACCACTGCAGCTGTGCCCCTCTAGCTCCCTAACAAGGAATAGAAGGAAAGCGACATTCTCATCATCCTAGGCAAAAGATACTGTTGCTTAAGAAAGTCTCCTTCTCTTGGAGAATGTAATGCATGACCTGTTATCCCTGTAGCATCCCTAAAATTAAAGATGTGGCTATTTTCATCCTTGAAGAATAATAATATCACAACTTCTCTGTCTTTTGAGTTTGAAGTCTAAATTATATATTCATGTGATCTTTTTAATGAAATTGCAAAACCCCAATTTTATTCTATTCAAAATATATTACCTTTGGGGGAATTTTAAATCTTTCTTAACATAGCTTCTTCAGAAAAGAAGAGAAATACAGGTATGGTTTAACATTGTCTTCAAAGTACCAGAGTTCTGAAAATATTCAAAGCACAATGGAAGGAAAATGAAGTGGAGACTATCCTGAAGTCTGAAAGTTGATCCCCCACCACCACACACCTAATATTCTTTTCATCCTCGACTGCTCCTTGTAGCCTGAGAAATTATCAGATGATCAAGCTATATAACAAAAATGAAAAGCTGATTTTCTCTTTGTAGTTAGAGAACTCTTAGCTACCATTTCTTGAATAACAAACAGGGAAACCAGATAATTTTGACTGCCAGGTTCTCCGGCACAGTGCATTACAACATATCTATAAAGAAGTGAACATACATACATATGTCCATATGTACATGCATACATACATACATAAATAGACATACTATTGTAAAAAATACTTTTTTAGCTATTTACTTGACAGTAAACCAGGACTTAAGATACCTGATTACATTTTCAAGGAGTGCAGTAACTTGTTAGGACTCTGGGCGTCGCTGTTCACTAACCTGGGGGATACTGCACTGCACCACACGCCCAATTTAAAAAGAAAAAGGGAAAACGCGTGACTTAGACTCTCTCCTTCATTTCAAACTGAAAATGTCTGCCTGAGACTGCCCAGCGTATTTCTGGACAACTCTCTGCTATAATTATCTAAAATAAGGTAAAGAAGACCCTTGGAAAAGCGGAGAAACAATATCCTTGGTAAGAGATTGAGGGGAAAAAAAAAAAAAAAAAAAACCCAGGAAGCCAGAGAGCAATGGCGATTTCAGAGAAGCAAACCGGCTGGAGCCTGCTGATGCTACTGTGCCTTTCTCTGGAGCTACTGTTGGAAGCTGGGGCTGGAAACATCCGATACTCTGTGCCAGAAGAAACCGACAAAGGCTCCTTCGTGGGCAACATCGCTAAGAACCTGGGACTGGAAACCCAGGAGCTGGTGAAGCGCGGGGTCCGCATTGTTTCCAGAGGTAGGTCGCAGCTTTTCTCCCTGAACCCGCGAAGCGGCAGCTTGGTCACCGCAGGCAGGATAGACCGGGAAGAGCTGTGCCCTCAGGGCGTGCCCTGTCTTGTCAGCTTTAACATCCTTATGGAGGATGAAATGAAGCTTCTTCCTATCGAAGTAGAGATAATTGATATTAATGATAACACTCCCCAATTCCAGTTAGAAGAGCTAGAATTAAAAATGAGTGAAATAACTACTCCAGGTACCAGGATCCCTCTGCCTCTCGGGCAAGACCTTGATGTGGGCATAAACTCACTTCAGAGCTACCAGCTAAGCGCCAACCCTCACTTCGCCCTGGATGTGCAACAGGGACCTGAAGGACCACAACAGCCAGAGATGGTACTGCAGAGACCTCTAGACAGAGAAAAAGATGCTGTCCACTACCTTATCCTCACTGCCTCGGATGGCGGCAACCCAATACATTCAGGAACTCTGCAAATTCATGTTCAGGTAATAGATGTGAACGACAACCCACCAGCATTTACTCAGGCAGAGTATCACGTGAGAGTCCCTGAGAACGTCCCATTAGGCACTCGGCTACTCAAGGTGAATGCTACTGACCCGGATGAGGGAGCTAATGGCAGAGTAACCTACTCCTTTTACAAGGTAGACCACAGTGTGGTCCGGAAATTTGAGTTGGATTCTTACACAGGAGAACTATCAAATAAGGAACCACTAGATTTTGAAGAATACAAAGTTTATCCAATGGAAATTCAAGCTCAGGATGGTGCTGGACTCATGGCCAGAGCTAAGGTGCTGGTCACTGTTTTGGATGTTAATGATAATGCCCCGGAAGTTGGAATCATGTCTGTCACTGCCACAGTACCAGAAAACTTTCCTCCTGGGACTATAATTGCTCTTATCAGTGTGCATGATCAAGATGCTGATAACAATGGTCACACCACTTGTTCCATTCCTGGCAACCTACCCTTTAAGCTGGAAAAGTTAGTCGACAATTATTACCGCTTAGTAACAGAAAGAACACTGGACAGAGAACATAGCTCTAGATACAACATCACAATAACAGCAACAGACCAGGGAACTCCGCCCCTATCCACCCAAGCTCACATCTCACTGCTAGTGACAGATATCAATGACAACCCTCCAGTTTTCGAACAGGACTCCTATTCTGTCTACATTCCTGAAAACAACCCCAGAGGAGCTTCCATCTTCTCAGTAAAGGCCCAGGATGCTGACCACAATGAGAATGCACTAGTGACTTACGCCCTGGTGGAAGACACTATTCAGGGAGCACCTTTGTCTTCTTACTTCTCCATCAACTCTGACACTGGAGTTGTCTATGCATTGCAATCCTTTGACTATGAGCAGTTTCGAGATTTGCAGCTAAGAGTGATAGCCCGTGATAGTGGGAACCCACAACTCAGCAGCAATGTATCTCTGAGTCTGTTCATGATAGATCAGAATGACAATGCCCCAGAGATCCTGTACCCTGTCCTCCCTACTGATGGCTCCACTGGTGTGGAGCTAGCACCTCGATCTGCTGAGCCCGGTTACCTAGTGACCAAAGTGGTAGCAGTGGACAAAGACTCGGGACAGAACGCCTGGCTGTCCTACCATCTGCTCAAGGCCAGTGAGCCAGGGCTCTTCTCGGTGGGACTACACACAGGCGAGGTGCGCACGGCTCGGGCCCTGCTGGACAGAGATGCTCTCAAGCAGAGCCTGGTGGTTTCTGTGCAGGACCACGGCCAGCCTCCTCTGTCCACCACAGTCACATTTACCATAGCAGTGGCTGACAGCATCCCTGACGTCCTGGCTGACCTGGGCAGCATCGGGACCCCTGCTGATCCCCAGGATTCAGATCTCACACTCTACCTGGTGGTGGCAGTGGCTGTGGTCTCCTGCATCTTCCTAGCCTTTGTAATAGTGCTCTTGGTACTCAAGCTGAGACATTGGTACTCCTCACGCTTGCTCCAGACTGCAGCAACTGGAGTGACTGGCCTGCCTGCCTCCAACTTTGTAGGTGTTGATGGGGTACATGCATTTCTACAGACCTATTCCCATGAGATCTTACTCACTGCCGACTCTCGAAAGAGCCACCTGATCTTCCCACAACCTAACTACGCAGACACACTCATCAGCCAGGAGAGCTGTGAGAAAAAGGAGTTTCTGTCAGCACCCCAGTCTCTGCTTGAAGATAAAGAGGAAATATTTTCTCAGGTAAATTTGTAATGACCTTATAAGGTATATCAATGAAAATAATTCATGGCTGTACATACTTGCTGTTTTCTATAAATAGTATATTCCATTATATCCCAGTAGTGGTTGGGGATGCGTATTATTGTTTCATGCCACTGGAGATTAAACCTAAGGGCTTATTGTGCATGCTAGGTGACATCTACCATTTTCAGATAAGGTCTTGATAAGATGCCTGGGCTGGCCTTGAACTCACTTTGTATCCCAGCAGGGTTTTAAAGTTATAATCCTCATGCCTCAGACTACTGGAGGGCTGGGATTTCAGGCATGTAGGCACAACACAGGTAGCCTAGCCTTTTAAATTCCTATTAACATTCTGGGACTGGAGAACATGCCCAAAATCCCAGCCTCAAAAAAAGGGTGGAGAGTGGGAACTCCTGCTTTGGCAAGGAGCCTTTAGTCATGCTGTGGGTGGTGAGGATGAGGAGTGTATGTGAAGGCCTGTCTCCCAGGGGAAAGAGAACTCCATTAGAAACAAATTTGTCTCCTACTTCTCACCATGTCTTGCTAAATCATTCCACTGTTCTGAGTTGACTATCCACTTATTCAGAAGGGATAGTGATGAAACCCATCAAAAGTCACAATTTTACTTGTGTGAATATAAAATGATAGCAATCTATAGAAGTTGTGATGTTATTGCTAAACATCCTAGTTCTATAATCTCTCATAATTAATCTCAAAGAGATAATTTATGTGTGCTTAAAAAATGTATCTCCTTAAGTAACTTATGAAATGGAGGGTAATGGACAGAAATTTTGTCAAGATAGGGAAGTGGAGTAGGTGAGAAATTTTTAAAAACAATCTTCTACTTAAAACAAATGCATAAGCCTAAATTTCAAAACACATTATCTTCCTAGAATTTATGGTTATTACAAGTAAGAAATTTTCTGTCAGTGGGCTCTCCTATTTTTTAAGTAATCTTTTTATTCTCTAGTGACTTTTAGCAGAATTTTGTTCTTGTATATCTTCAGGGTTTTTATTTTCTTCTTGAGTCCAAAATTATACTCTCAACTAATAAATTGTTTCAGTTCTACGTTTTCTTAGTTCTTATAATTTAAACACAGATTAATGAATTGGTTGATTTTTTTAAATCCATAATCTGTTGATAAGGTAGATTCTGAAATTTATACTGAAATATTGAAACTAATGCTTCATGTGCATAGGTGCACAAAAGAAAACAGTCATATTAGAACATTAGTACAACAAAGTCATATTTAAGGCAACAAACACTAGTTGTAAATTTAAGAAACTAATTGGTTATAATTATAAAAAAAAAAGTGTTGTCAAACAGGTAAAAAACTATGAGCTCCCATCATCAAAAAACACAGTTTTGAAACTAATACCAGATTTTAACATGATTCCCAAAGAAAGCCTAGATCAAACAGGAAGGTCCCAGAGGCTCTCTCTCAATTGTCTGTGGCTCCAACTTCAGAAGATCTGATATCCTCTTCTGGCCTCCATGGGCATTCTCCCATACACACATGATAGTCCGTAAAATATTAAAAATAATAATAAAACAAATAGAAATGTACAGAACTAATTAAAACAACCTACGTATCTACTGAAAGCAAGAAAGGAGGAGTAAAAGATGGTGGAGAAGCACAAAGGGGATTGATCATTATTAATCAACAAACAGTAAGCAGAGAAAACTACAAATAATTAGACAATTTCTAGAACATTTCCAGTGATCTACATTAACAAAATCAGTGCTGAGACCATGAACCAGGTGGCTCCCGAGAGGATGCACCAAGAAGATGACGTCATCCTATGTGCTCCGACCAGACCTGCACAATCTGAACCTAATCAACAGAGTCTAACACACCCAAGGGAGAATGTTTTTACATAGCACTGACCAAATCTTAAAGTCCAGGGTCATGAAACGTAAAGCCTGATGAACTACTCAAATTCTCCTCACTGCAGAGACCTTGTGAAGTACAACACATGATCCCAGGATGGGTCCTGGGCTTGGGAAATATTTTATTTTGCTATATAAAAAAAAAAGACATTGTGGCAAACTGGAAAATTACTACTAAGAGCTATAGGCTAGATATAATGAAACTGCATCAACTCCAAGTTGATTTTGTACTTTGGTTATAAAGAAATACTTTTTGGTTAAGAGAAGTAAAGGGGCATCATGTGTGCAGCTTACATGGCATCAATGAAAGCATGCAACTAAAATGTTCACATGTGGGTTAATGAGGGCACAGAACTTTAAATGTGAAGTGCACAAGTCCAACTGCACAATCCTACAGCTACATCTCAAATTGAAAATATTTTGGAAAACATCATATTCCTTAAGCGTGTACATCAACTACTTACATTACCTTAGACAGCATGTATAATTGGAAGGTGACAAACTATGTACAAAATATTAATTGCATGTCCTTCATCATTTTACACAAGGGACTCCAGCATCCTCAGATATAGAACCAAGCCCCCTCAGCTACCAAGCAGTGGCTATTTATAGGGTTTATTTGTACTGATTTTGCAATTATTCTGAAATAATTCAAAATAAAAAGTCTAAGCATTGATCTTATTTAAATATGGTAAGATGTTAAAATTAAATAAAGTGTACTGGTATACACAGATTTTGGTAATATTACTTTCTATGGTAATATTTCTATATAATCTTTCTATAGTAATATTTCTGTATATATAGTAAATACATAAATAAATAAATAAATAAATAAATAAAACATACTGGTATACACAGATTTTGGTAATATTACTTTCTATAGTAATATTTCTATGGTATGCTTGAAATATTTCAAAATGTATTTTTAAATAAGTGCGTTATTTATAAATTTATATGTGTATGTAAGCCAAACAGGAGTAAGAAGACATCCATGGCGTCATCTTGTACCACCTTAGTAAACATTAAGTATGGAAGGGAGAGAGTGCTTAGTCGTCTCAGACAACTTTGAGTGACTGATTCCTAATGTAATCCTGTCTGTAAACCCTGCCTGCCCGAACTTTTGTCAATATAGCCACCACCAGTTTCCATAATGTTCCTGGCTGTCTCTCAGCTCCAAGCATTGGTTCTGATTTCTTCAGTGTTACTTCAGCCTCTTCTTGGCTCATCCTACCTTTCAGGATCTAAGGAAGTGGCATTCAGGAAAGGTCGCTTTTTGACTCCCAAACATAAATTGGGTCTCCTTCCTCTGTGTGTCCCCAGGGCAAAGTGTTTTTCACCAAATTCGGCATCAATACTCCTTAATAATATCCTCTTTATTTTCCCACATCTTTCTCACCCTAAAAGCTTCTGAGAACTGGTTTCCAAGCAAGATTCAATCAAACCTTGTGTCGGGCGCACATGCTGTTGTGTCTAACAACAATTTAAGTATGAAGTACTGGAGTTAAATGCTTTGCAACTGAGCAAAAAATTTCAAAAAACTTACCTTATAAGAAAATGTAGCTAATGCTTTAAATTTGATCATTTTATCTAAGCATAGGTTTTGGTTTTTGTTTTGTTTTTTGTTTGTTTTTTTTTTTAAGGTGGGAGATGTCCAATAGCACTAGGTTTAAGCCTTAAACATTCTACAATACTTTCGTAGCAACCACTGTCAGGTTACAATGTTTACAACTTCCTTATTAGTTCTAAAAAGGTCTCTACTTTTAAATATGTGCTTCTACTGTAAATAAAATTGTGTCTTAGTGTGTCATTCTTGAGAGCAACTTAAAAGCCACAGGCAGACGTGGGTTTGCTTTGAACAAGTGCAGAAACTGGCTAGACCTCTGAGCGTCGCTGTTGACCACCTAAGGAGTAAAAGGCAGCCAACCAATCCCACTGAAGAGCTGGCACAACACAAAAGGCTGGTAGTTTGTCCGCAGCTTCCGGTCAGAGAAGACGCAAGAAATTCAATCTAGCTGCCTGATAGTTCTCTCTCCTCGGTGTTCTGGGTCCGGTGACTACTGGTCGTCTCAGACCCTGGGGGATACGGACAGGACTTCCCCACTGTGCTGGAAGCTGGTTCAGAGGAAACTCCGCTGCAGAAGGGCAATGGCGACGGTGCAGAAACTCCCCCAGAGCAGAATGCTCGTCCTCCTGTGCGTACTTTGGGCCGCCCTGTGGGAGGCCAGAGCTGGACAGATCCGCTACTTCGTGCCGGAGGAGATCGACAAAGGCTCCTTCGTGGGCAGCATCGCCAAGGACTTGGGACTAGAGCCCCAGGCTCTGGCAGAACGAGGGGTCCGCATTGTCTCCAGAGGTAGGTCGCAGCTCTTTGCTCTGAACCCGCGAAGCGGCAGCTTGGTTACGGCAGGCAGGATAGACAGGGAGGAGCTCTGCGCCCAGAGCACGCCCTGTTTGGTGAACTTTAACCTACTACTGGAAGATAAATTGACTATTTATTCTGTAGAGGTGGAGGTAACAGATGTTAATGACAATGCTCCTCGCTTTGGAGTAGAGGATCCAGAACTAAAAATCAGTGAAACAACTACACCAGGATTCAGGATTCCTCTTAAGAGTGCACATGATGCGGACGTGGGAGAGAACACCCTCCAGAAGTATAAACTCAACTCAAATGACCACTTCTCTTTGGACGTGCGAACTGGAGCTGATGGGAACAAGTACCCAGAGCTGGTGCTCGAGCGTGCCTTGGACCGCGAGGAAGAAGCTGTTCATCATCTGGTTCTAGTCGCCTCCGACGGGGGCAATCCAGTGCGATCTGGCACCTGCCGCATCCGTGTGAAGGTCCTTGATGTGAATGACAACGTTCCTGTCTTTACACAGCCCGAGTATCGCGTGAGAGTTCCTGAGAATACGCCCGTAGGCACCCGGATACTCACAGTGACAGCCACGGACGCTGATGAGGGATACAATGCCCAAGTGACTTATTTTCAGGAGCATGCCCCTGGAGAAACTACAGATGCATTTGAGCTAAAGTCAACATCTGGAGATATAACAATCACAAAAAGTCTGGATTATGAGAAAGCTAAGTTCCATGAAATCGATATTGAAGCTCAGGATGGCCCAGGCCTTCTGACTAGGACGAAAGTTATTGTCACCGTTCTAGATGTCAATGACAATGCCCCCGAATTTTACATGACATCTGCCACTGCTTCTGTGCCTGAAGACGCTCCTCTGGGAACGGTAATTGCACTCTTCAATGTGCATGATAGGGACTCTGGGCAGAATGCTGTTGTCACGTGTTCACTTCCTGAGATGCTCCCTTTTAAGTTAGAAAGGTCAGTAGACAGTTACTACCGGCTGGTTACAACCAGAGCCCTTGACAGGGAACAGTTCTCCTCTTACAACATCACTCTAAGCGCCAAAGATGAAGGGAGCCCACCTCTGTCCACAGATGCACACCTTTTACTGCAGGTGGCAGATATCAATGACAACCCACCTTCCTTCCCCCGGAGAGCCTACTCCGCCTACATTCCTGAAAACAACCCCAGAGGCACCTCCATCTTTTCAGTGCTGGCCTATGACCCTGACAGTAACGACAATGCCCACGTAACCTACTCTTTAGCTGAAGACAGCTTTCAAGGAGCACCCCTGTCCTCCTACATCTCCATCAACTCTGACACTGGAGTCCTCTATGCTCTCCGCTCCTTTGACTATGAGCAGTTCCAAGACTTGCAGCTGTGGGTGATAGCAGTGGACAGTGGGAACCCTCCACTGAGTAGCAATGTGTCATTGAGCCTGTTCTTAGTGGACCAGAACGACAACATGCCTGAGATCCTATATCCTGCCCTCCCCACAGACGGGTCCACTGGTGTGGAACTAGCGCCTCGATCTGCAGACCCTGGATACCTGGTGACCAAAGTGGTGGCAGTAGACAAAGATTCAGGACAGAACGCCTGGCTATCCTACCGCCTGCTCAAGGCCAGTGAGCCAGGGCTCTTCTCGGTGGGGTTGCACACGGGCGAGGTGCGCACTGCTCGGGCCCTCCTGGACAGAGATGCTCTGAAACAGAGCCTGGTGGTGTCTGTGCAGGATCACGGCCAGCCTCCTCTCTCTGCCACTGTCACACTCACCATAGCAATAGCTGACAACATCCCTGAAGTCCTGGCTGACCTGGGCAGCATCAGGATCCCTGCCAACTCTGATGATTCGGAACTCACTCTCTACCTGGTGGTGGCAGTGGCTGTGGTCTCCTGTGTCTTCTTGGCCTTTGTCATTGCGCTGCTGGCGCTCAGGCTGAGGCGCTGGCATATGTCTCGAATGCTTCAGGCTTCAAGAGATGGTTTAGGGGGCATCCCTGCCTCACACTTTGTGGGAGTGGATGGAGTACGTGCTTTCCTGCAGACCTATTCCCATGAAGTCTCCCTCACCGCAGACTCAGGGAAAAGCCACATTATCTTCCCTCAACCAAACTATGCAGATACTCTCATCAGCCAGGAGAGCTGTGAGAAAAATGATTTTCTCTCAGCACCTCAGCCTTTACTTGATGATAAAAGAGAAGAAACCCCTCAGGTAAAACAAATTTTTTTGCAATAAGCTCATGTTATTTTGCTAGATTTACCTATTTAGTTGCCCCAAGTGCTTAAATACATGTGTTTTATCCTGTGTTTCCTTAAGGGTATATTGAAGTTTAAATGAATCCAAATGAACTATTCCTAGGTAGTCTTACCTCATGGGCTACAAGGGAAGTTAAAAATCATCATGGAATGGATGGAAATAAGGAATTAGTAGTTGACGGTGACATTTAGATCATCAAAAGAAACTATGGTTAATATCTTATACTCTTCCTTCTAGTCATGGGACAAATCATTTCATGTATGCGGATCAGTGATTCTTTTTAAATATAGACAGATTGGAGCTGATGGTCAGTAGTGGTGTGCCTGCCCAGCATGCACTGGGCCTTCAGATGGTTCTCAGCACTGCCGTGTGTGTATTATGTACTCTGTGTGTGTGTTTGTGTGTGTGTGTGTGTGTGTGTGTATACTGTATGCAGTGTATACACTGGATTTCATAACAACTGAGGAGTCTTCTTTAAATTGCAAGGCTTGCTTTATATTTCTCTGTATGAATTATCCTTGATCCATATATTTCTCCTTCATATTTTCAGAGAAGTTGCTTATTTTCCTTAATTTGCATACCAATACCTGTTTAAATGAAGAAACTTTATCTGGGCACAATGGCACACACTTCAACCATTGTACTTAGGAGGCAGAGGCAGGCAGATTTCTGTGAGCTTTAAACCAGCCTGGTCTACATAGCAAGCTCCAGGCCAGCCCAGGCCACATAGTGAGACCTGTCTCAAAGACAATAAAGTATGAGCATAAGAAAGCTGAAAACATAGTTCCTTTTAAGGATATAGTAACCCCTAAGAATAAATGTCTTATAGATACATACACAGTGCATCATGACTGAAATGGCTTTTTTTGTTTCTATTTGTTTTGTTTTGAGACAGGGTCTCACTATGTAACCATGGGGGGCCTGTAACTCACTTTGTAAACAAGGCTGGCCTCAAATTCACAGAGATCTGCCTGTCTCTGCCTCCAGAGTGCTGGGATTAAAAGAATGCACCACCACATCTGTCTTCATTTCTATTCCTGTGCTTCAAGCGGAAAATATACAGAAGGGATTCTGGACATAAGCACAAGCTTATCTTTACCAATGTCAGCTGTGATTTTTAAAAGATATCCTCACACACATCTGCACTTGGGCAAGGCAAATATCTTTAGTAGTCTGAGGTCTGTAATTTACTCCTACACCCAAACCTTTCCCCAGGTCCACCTTTCTGATGCTTCTCAATAAGGCCTTCACTAAACTCCACAGCCAAGTTGGACACTGTCCCATCTTCCTTGGCTTCTCCTGGTGTGTGACTATATCAATGCACGGTAAGCCCCAAGAGGTTTTCCACCCTCATAAACTCTGTGACGGAACTGGTTGTGTCTATATTTTCCACATTAAATCTCCAGACAAGTATATTGCCTGACACCTAATCATGTGTTTATTTTATGATCAGTTAAGTGAAAAATATTAAAACTAGTATGTCAGGGTACCAAAGACAAACTTAAGAATTATAATGCACAAATATGACTGGTGTTTCTGTGTAAATATTAAACTGAACCTTTGGGAAACGGTAATTATGCTTAAAGCAGTATTGGTGGAGTTAATGTTAGAGTGGCATCCCAAAGAAGGATAACTTGAAGCCTTTAGCAAATATCAGTTCGGTTACTTGAAATCAGTACTAGTTCCCTTGCCAGTACTAATTGTCTTAACTGAAGAAGCTAGGAACAAAGGGTAACTTGGGTTTGCCTGAGAGTGTGCAGTGAACGATTAGGCCTCTGGGTGTCGCTGTTGACCACACAAGAGGAAAAGGAGCCGCTGAAGCGGTGTCCACCATTTCCTTGCGGCAAAGAAACACCAAGAACACTCTGAGAAGACAGAAGCGGCCTCACCACATCATCGGGCAACTCTGTGGTATGTGAATTAAGTCCATGAAAGATTTAACTACTTGAGGGGGTAAGGAGCTGGGATCCATCGTGAGAATCAGAGGGGGAGGGAAAACAGAAAAGGAAATGATCCGCCTGGGACAAGGAACCGCCGGAGCTTTGTTGTGCGCGCTCCTGGGGACGCTGTGCGCGGCTGGCTTCAGACAGATCCGCTACTCGGTGCCGGAGGAGCTGGATAAAGGCTCCTTCGTAGGCAACATCTCCAAGGACCTGGGGCTGGAGCCCCGAGAGCTGGCGGAGCGCGGAGTCCGCATCATCTCCAGAGGTAGGTCTCAGCTTTTCTCTCTGGACCCGCGAAGCGGCAGCTTGGTCACCGCAGGCAGGATAGACCGGGAGGAGCTGTGCGCCCAGAACGCGCCCTGTCTTGTGAGCTTTAACATCCTTGTGGAAGATAAGCTGAAAATATTTGAGATAGAAGTTGACATCAGCGATATTAATGATAATGCTCCTAGTTTTCCAACGGAGGAATTGGAAATAAAAATTGGTGAACTAACAGTTCCTGGAACCCGATTTCCACTAAAAACTGCATTTGACCCAGATGTGGGCATGAACTCTCTGCAGAACTATAAGCTCAACTCCAATGACTACTTCTCCTTGGCTGTGAACAATGTCATCGATGACGCCAAGTACCCAGAGCTAGTGCTGGAGCGAGCCCTGGATCGTGAGAAAAAGGCAGTCCATCTGCTTGAGCTCATTGCCTCTGACGGCGGAGACCCTGTCCACACCGGCAAGTTGTGCATCCAGGTGATAGTCTCGGATGCAAATGACAACCCACCCGTGTTTACTAAGCCAGAGTATCATGTCAGTGTTCCAGAAAACGTGCCAGTTGGCACCAGACTGATCACAGTGAATGCCACTGATCCTGATGAGGGATTCAATGCTCAAGTGTCCTATATTCTGGACAAAATGCCTGGGAAAATTGCTCAGGTTTTCCATCTCAATTCAGTGACTGGAGATATATCAATATTAAAAAGTCTTGATTTTGAGGATGCTGTGTTCTATGAAATCAAAATTGAAGCACAAGATGGACCGGGTCTTTTTTCAAGAGCCAAGATTCTTGTCACAGTTCTGGATGTGAATGACAATGCCCCAGAAATCTCAGTCACTTCCTTCACAGGCTCAATCCCAGAAGAGGCTCCTCCTGGAAGAGAAATCGCACTTATCAATGTACATGACCGAGATTCTGGCCAGAATGGGCAAGTCACAGTTTTTGTCCTGGGAAATCTGCCCTTTACTCTAGAAAAATCAATAGACCAATACTACCGTTTAGTGACAGCCAGATCTCTGGATCATGAGGAGGTGTCTCAGTATAATATCAGTCTAAAAGCCACCGATGGGGGAAGTCCACCATTGTCCACAGAAACTCATATTACTCTGCATGTGTCAGACATCAACGACAACCCTCCTACCTTCATGCGTGCCTCCTATTCAGCCTATATCCCAGAAAACAATGCTAGGGGAGCCTCCATCTTCTCTGTTACAGCACAGGACCCAGACACTGACAAGAATGCACAAGTCACTTACTCACTGGCTGAGGACACACTTCAGGGGGTGCCACTGTCATCCTATGTCTCCATCAACTCCAATACTGGTGTCCTGTATGCTCTTTGCTCCTTTGATTATGAGCAGTTTAGAGACCTGCAGTTACAAATAACAGCTAGAGACAGTGGGACTCCTCCACTCAGCAGCAACACAACACTGAGTCTATTTGTGCTGGACAAGAATGACAACATGCCTGAAATCCTGTATCCTGCCCTCCCGGTAGATGGTTCCACTGGGGTTGAGTTGGCTCCCCGCTCTGCAGATCCTGGATACCTGGTAACTAAGGTGGTGGCAGTAGACAAAGATTCAGGACAGAACGCCTGGCTGTCCTACCGCCTGCTCAAGGCCAGCGAGCCAGGGCTCTTCTCGGTGGGGTTGCACACGGGCGAGGTGCGCACGGCTCGGGCCCTGCTGGACAGAGATGCTCTCAAGCAGAGCCTAGTGGTATCTGTGCAGGATCACGGCCAGCCTCCTCTCTCTGCCACTGTCACACTCACCATAGCAGTGGCTGACAGCATTCCTGACATCCTGGGGGACCTGGAAAGCATCCATACCCCTCCTAACCCCCAAAATTCAGACCTCACACTCTACCTGGTGGTGGCTGTGGCTGTGGTCTCCTGCATCTTCCTGGCCTTTGTCATTGTGCTGCTGGCACTCAGGCTCCGGCGCTGGCACTCATCGCGCCTGCTCCAGGCTGGCGGAAATGGATTGGCTGGCATACCAGCCTCTCACTTTGTGGGTCTAGATGGGGTGCAAGCTTTCCTACAGACCTATTCCCAGGAAGTTTCACTTACTGCAGGCTCTAGGAAGAGTCACCTGATCTTCCCACAGCCCAACTATGCAGACACGCTCATTAGCCAGGAGAGCTGTGGGAAAAGCGAGCCTCTTATAATACCTCAAGATTTACTTGAAACAAAAGAAGACTCCATGCTGCCTGAGGTGAGTCTATTTCTTTGAGTGTTATAAACAGTTATGCCAGTGTGGTTCTTATAAGATCTTAATACGCATTTATTTGAGAAGTAAAGCAATGATGTGATTGCACATTCTGTTTTCTCTACCTGTGTCCCACTTGCCTATGAGTGGACTGTACTTCCTGGCCTTATTTTGGCTGAGTGGGCCCAGGTAACTAGGTCTGGCCAATACATTCCACTTCTGGAGGAAATGCTGATTGTCATGATGAGAATTCCAGTTCTTTCCCTTAACCTTTGGAGAGTGTGATTGTTTCTTCCACCTATGTCCTTCAGTACCTGTAATGAGAGAAGAGCCATGCAGTTGACCCGACAGTGGTCCATATGCCTGTGATAAATGGGCCTTTCACAATTCTGTTCTCATCCTTTGGGTGCTAGGGTAAATCCCAGGGTCTTGGCAAATGTTGATCATCTGCTGGACCACTGAGCTATGCCTCAGCCTGCCTTTCCTGTTATAAACCCGTGTGGTTTGAACATTGTCACTCCTTCCCACTAGCTGATCCTGACACCCACAAATAAGTGGGGAAAGGAGGGAAAATACAGAGGATTTTATGCTCTAATAAATTTTTGTCTGAACCTTTCCAAGACACGCCACAATCTTTTCATCATAAGGACATAAAAACCATAGGATAGGAAGTGAAGAAAACAGTTACAGCAGGATGCTTGCAGTTGCAGCTACCTCGGAAACTATGGAAGTGGGAATCACTCAAGCCTAGAATTCAAGACTAATCTTGGCAACATGGCAAGAACTGTCTCAAAAAGAAAAGTGGAGGTTTGTCAAACGACAAACTGCCTGGTGACTAAAATGTATGCATGTGTTTGTCTTAAGGTAGCAAGTTCATTCACCTAACTATTATGAGCCCTGGGCTGGTATTCATCCCTTTGGTGATAAATCTGTGATGTAGCTGTATCACACCTGGATATTTACCCAAGGGACTGTGAGTCAGCATATCACAGACATGCTTGCACATCAGTGTTTACTGCAGCACTGTCCACAGTGATTAAGCAACCTAGTTTTGTCCATCAATAGAGAAATGAATAAAGAAAAGGTGATGTGTAGATATTTATACAGTGGAATTTTTCACCCATAAAAAATTGAAGCTTTGTCATTTGCAGGAAAATGAATGCAACTGCAATTAAGCTGCGTTAATTAATATTAAGAAAGTTAAGTCAATCTCAAAAATACCATGTCTTCTCTCATTTATGAACTCTTAAGTTTTATACAGATACATAAAATTGTGTGTGTGTGCATGTGTGTGGTGTGTGTGTGTGTGTGTGGTGTGTGTGTGTGTGTAGCATGCAAGAAAAAGAGAAACTACTGGGGAAAACGGAGGGGGCTAACAGGAGAGGAGGTGAGAGAAAAAGGAGGCTATGAGGGACACAGAGGCATAAGCCCAGTGTACAATATATACTTGTATAAAAATGTCCTTGTGAAACCCAGTTTCATATGCAATGAATATATACCAACACAAAAATATTATTTCAAAATACAAGGAAGCTATTTCTCAGTCTCTGTAAGAGATCTCCAGACCATGTATTACAGCAATGAAATAGAAATCCTGAATGTGTTCCAGAACTTTCTTGTGAGCTCATTCTAAAACCTATGAAATTATTTTTACTCCGGTAGCTTTACAAAAGAGGGTTGTCCAAAAATGAACCAAAATGTATTTCATTGCATCTCAAAGGGACATATTTCTCCCTCAATATGTTAGAAAACGTAACGTTGAAATGTGTAAGTGAACAGAGCCTGAAGAAACTATCTGTAAGCATATAAAACTATATTCTCATTCAAGATCCATATATGTGATGGAATCTTGTGAAAAGGAACTTAAAGGCATGAAATGGAGAAGAAAAGAGAAAGGATGTCTCAAGGGGAGTGTAATGGATTTCTACTGGAGATGATTGAGCACTTCAAAATAGTATAATTAAATCACTGAGCTGACAGCTGTCAGGTCATTTCTTCTGCTGTTAGAAAATACTTGAGACTTGGACATCTATCTTTAAAATAAGTGTTTATTTATCTGATTGTTGGAAGGTAGGAAGTCTAATAACATAGCATTCTTTGCCTTTGGGGCTTCTTCTTGGGGCTTTTTCCTTTGGGACCAATACATGGCAGGGGGACATCACATGACAAAACCCAAGCAAGTGTGTCAGAGACTGCTATTTTTACAAGAAATCCACATATATGACACTAATGAAGCTAAAGTCCTCCTCGTTCAATCATTTCCTAAAGATCCTGCCTCCAGATACTGTTAAATCATGGATTGAGAAATTGAGGTTCTAACACATCAAATTTAAGAGGTGCATTTAAGACACTCTAAGCCAGTTTGGTGACAGATAAGAAATAGAGATTTGCCTAGTTGAGTTACCCAAGTCCAGGATTAAGTTCTAAAATGGAGTGTTTAGGTCCAGTGAGATGGCTAAGGGGAAGGGTGCTTGCTGCCAAGGCTGACAACCTGATTTCCATCCCTGATACCTCAAGAAATATGGAGAAACAACTCCAGTACATTGTTCTTTGACCTCCACACGAGTGCACATGCATTTATACATACACCTCAACACACCAATACATAAATATAATAAAATGTAAATAATAAAGTGTTTAAAGACTGTCAATGTCTCGCCAAGAGTTACTGGTGATCTGTTACTTTATTAATTAATAGCATAAAACTGAAGTTTTTATGTTGAAGTTAAGAATTTGGCTTATAGAGTTACATATTTAGAAAAAAAGTATTTCAACAAATAAATATGGCTTACACAAGATTCACCATAATAAAAGCCCAAATGCTACATTGGTACATTTAATAAGCTATCTGGCTATGGTGTCTTTAACTGAAAATAGGATGCTTCAAGAAGAAGATCAATGCATTAAAATATCTCTGGAGATGCCACCTCTCTCTTTTACAAAGACTATCTTTGAGAAGTTTTACCAAATTGATAAAATATACAGAAATTAAAACACTAAATAAGGAAGTTACTTCAATAGACGTGCAAAAATGTAAAGCTAATAATCCACTGAATAATAAGACTGAAAATCCACTCGCTTATTGGATATGACAGGCCTGAGTTTGTAAGTGCCATACAGTGAAGACATTGATGGCATTTTTCTCCAAAACTGGAAAAAAAGGAAAAATGCACGCCTTGTGAAATGAGGACACTGTATAATGATGAAAACATTCATGAAATGATAATAAACAAAATATCTAAACCAAAGGGGGAAATGTGAATACCTGGTTGTAAATTAAAAGTCAAAACAAAAGCTTTGATAAATAGCTGCACGAGACGCAGTTTTACAAGACAACCATTAGGTGACGCTGTTGACCAAAGGGAAGAGCAAGGTTCTCCATTCCGCAGGGTCTAGCGAGGGCTTGCTTGCTTTTTCCGGCACCCACGAGAACATCTGTCCGGATTCTGTGCTCTCTTCAAGCGCCTGACAAATCTTGCCCTCAAATCACAAACATCCAGGGCTTTAAAATCCCAGAAAAACCTCGAAAAGAAGCTTCCTGACGAGGTTAGAACGGCAGAGCGACCCCGGCGGCTTTGGAATGATGGCAAATCAGGTATTGCTTCATTTCCTGGTGCCTTTGTTCTGTGGCGCCCTCTCCCAGCCCATCCACTACTCCATTCCGGAGGAGCTAGCCAAGGGCTCTCTGGTGGGGAATCTCGCCAAGGATCTAGGATTCAGTATCCAAGAATTGCCAGCTCGAAAACTGAGAGTTAGTGCAGAGGATTATTTCAGCGTTCGTGCAGAAAGCGGGGATTTGTTAGTGAGCGGCAGGATAGACAGAGAAAAGATTTGCGGGAGGAAATCTGAGTGTGCACTGGAATTTGAATCTGTTACTGAAAACCCGATGAATATTTTCCATGTAACTGTTGCCATCCAAGACATTAATGATAATGCACCACATTTCTTTGGGAAAAGCATTGAATTGGAGATCTGTGAGTCAGCCTTAGCAGGGGCAAAATTCCCTCTGGACTCTGCACGAGATGCAGATGTGGGAAGTAACTCACTGAAGATGTACACTATCAGCCCCAATCCACACTTCTCCCTGTCAACGAAGGAAAGTCCTGATGGAAGTAAATACCCAGAATTGCTGCTGGAAAAACCTCTAGACAGGGAGCATCAGAGCTCCCATCACTTAATACTGACCGCCATGGATGGTGGAGACCCACCCCTAAGCAGCACCACCCAGATCTGGATCAAAGTCACCGATGCCAATGATAATGCTCCAGTGTTCAGCCAGGACACTTACAAAGTTAGCCTTCGAGAAAACATGCCCCCAGGAACGTTAGTGCTGCAAGTTACAGCCACGGACCAGGATGAGAGTATTCACGGAGAAATCACCTATGCCTTCCTTAATGTCCCAGCAAGTACTAACCTCATCTTCAGTATCAATCCAAACACTGGAGCTATCACAACTAATGGTACATTGGATTTTGAAGAAAAGAGTAGATACACATTGGGTGTAGAGGCCAAGGACGGAGGAGTGTACACGGCTCACTGTAATGTTCAGATCGAAATTCTTGATGAGAATGACAATGCCCCAGAGGTGACATTCATGTCCTTTTCTAACCAAATTCCAGAGGATTCAGTCCTTGGAACAGTAATAGCCCTCATTAAAGTTCGAGACAGAGATTCTGGACAAAATGGTCTGGTGACATGCCGTATTCAGGAAGATCTTCCCTTCAAATTACAACCCACCTCCAAGAATTATTACAAGTTGGTGATTGACAAGGCCCTAAACCGGGAACAGGCCCCAGAGTACAACATCACTATTACAGCTACTGACAGTGGCAAGCCTTCGCTTTCCTCCAAGACATGTGTTACCGTGCACATCACAGATATCAACGACAATGCACCGGTTTTCCACCAGGCCTCCTACTTGGTCCAC